AAAAAAAAAAAAAAAAAAAAAAAAAAAAAAAAAAAAAAAAAAAAAAAATCCACTATAATACAGCTTTATACAGCCCAAGTTGGCCTCACGCTGTATGATACAACTTATTTTATTCAAATGAAAAATGTTGGGCTGAGGAATACAGCTCAGCAGCATAAGTACCTGCCTGGCAAGTGCAAGGTTCCCAGTTCAGTCCCTGGTACCAGAAAAACAAATAAAGGAAAAATGTGGTAGTGAGCCCCATATATTCTAATGTGGATATGTTTTTACATGTTGTGAGAGCACTATTTTTCTGTCACTTTTTTCCTTGAGTTGTATTGGAGTAAGTTGGTGTTTCACAGTACAAACTTTGCAATGTTAGCTATTTTCCAAAAGTACCTAAGTCAGTTGCTTATCACTCAGAACACATATCTATAATTCTCAGAAACAATTAATAATTTCCAGGATATGTTGGGGATCCAGAAAAACATTCCCAGATAGTAATTTTCACAAAACCTCACTAGAGCGAACATATACTTGTACTCGGGGCTAAGATTTATTACAGTGGAGAGACGTAAAATGACATTAGCAGAAGTACAAGGTGGGAGAAGGCCAAGAAGGAGACAGGCACAAGCACTGAGGAGACCTCTGCCATGCTTTTATTGGCATGCTGAATTCTTCTAGGATAAAATGTGAAAACATGTTTTCATCACCACAGAAGCTCATTAGAGACTTAGTGCCCAAAACTTTTATTGGAGGTTGGTCACATATATACTCTTCAGCCTGGCATATAAAAAATTCCAGACTACAGAAAAAAATGCTAGTGTTCACTGTAGAGTATCCTATTAGTATACTCCACATTGGCAAAGTGAGCCATCCTTGTCATTGAGGGAAAGTTTTACATCAGTGTGTAGAACTGCTATCCAAATCCTCAGATGTGAGCAAGGCCAACCTTGGAAGCAGGACTTTCTAAGTATTACAGTCTGAGGCTGCTATTTGTCTTCACTACACATGAAGCAATTCATAAAACTCTTTTGATTACTAATCTCATGAAATGCTAAATTTACAATAAAGGTAAAATTACTTTCATCTGCCTAATCATTTCTACATTATTTTTATATGATAACACATGGTAAATTCCATCTGTAGGGGCTATGGTACAATTGGCTGTCCTGCATTCACTATGCCGCATGGTAGCTTTCCCCAGGAGGAGTATCTGACCAGAACAAAGGACACAGTGGCTCTCCTTGGGTGTCATTATTGATGACAGTAGCCTCTGTCATCACCATGAGAGGTATTGCTCTGTATATTCATGGAAAAATAGGCCCATGGAAAAGCCTCACTTCTAGGTGTTAAAATGGTGATGAAAATGGAGGAAGTGGAGACAGCAAGGACTTAATAAATGTGTTTTTCAGATACCGTTCTCATTTAGTCTTATTCAGATACAAGGTATTCCCTTCAAACTCACAATGCAAAGAGAAAACATTAACTTTTATAAATGTCATGAGTTGTAATGAATTTTGTAATTCATTGTTTAGTTCCTATAAAGTTCTTAAACCAATATTTGATACATGATGCATACACAATCATGTTATTTATTTAATAAATGTTAGGTATCCCTTATGAATTATCACATCAAAGAATTGAAACATCACATCAAATGATTTTCCTCTATCACATTGTAATAAGATAATAGATGTTTTTTAAGAGGTAATTTATTTTCTAATAATATTGTGTGGTATTGAGAATATACCTTAATTAGCTGACCATGGTGGTCCATACCTGTAATACCAGCCACTCAGGATGAAGTCACAGAGATTATCCTGCCTCAGCCTCCCAAATACTGGAATTACCGGCATTTGCCACAATGCACAGTGAGAAATGTACTCTTATGATTTGTATTTTCTACTTTATATTCATATCATCATAGCAAGGGCAAAGAAAAGGTTGTAGTCATCAGTTTTTTTGAGTGCTCCTTCCAACATCTTTGTTTAATAACAGAGGAGTAAAATACATGTGATGGGTTTTAGATGCCATACATTGTGCATAATTCCTTTGCTACATTTTAAATTAACTCGATTATATTCATCATATAGCAAAGTGCTGAAAGAAAAATTTTCATCTTTGTACTTAATGAACATGAACAAAACCACTAAAACTCTTTTATTTTATAGGGAATTAGTGATGGTATTCCACTATTAAAGGCCATTGTCCCCCAAAATCAGTCTCGTTCTTTTATTTCTCAAGGCAGCCCTGAGTTACTGGTAAGTTGATTCTCATCTTTTTGTATACCATCATGTCTATATCCATTATAGCTCAGCAAAAAGTGAGGAATAAGATTCTCTAAACACTTTTTTTAGCTGAGCATGGGGCCACACACCTGGAACCCTAGTATTCTGGAAGGATAAGGCAGGAGGATCACAAGTTTGAACTCAGCATGGGCAACTTAATGAGACCCTGTCTCAAAAGGACTGGAGATACAGCTCAGTGCAAAGGCTCTGGGTTCAGTTCCTCAATACACCAGTACTATCAAAACAAAAAGGCTGTTTTTGAAATAATAAAATTTTATAGATTTGATGAAATACATTTTTTCCTGTTTTCATAGTTTCACTTTAATTCTAAAGTTTATCCGGAAGAATGACCGTGGAAAAATAACACAGAAGTATTAAAAGAAAAACAGCATATAACATCTTATATTAAAGTTATTATAGGGCCAGGGAGATGGCTTAGTGGAATACATGCTGCCCTGGCAAGCGCAAGGGCCTGAGTTCAATCCCCAGTTCCACCAAAAAAAAAAAAAAAAAATTATTATAAAGCCATAAAATGAGAACTAATGTAGAATTTATTATAGTATATATCCAGAGCACTTTAATGAATGTTTTACATGATTTTTCTGTTTAATCCACCTTGAAATTCTATAATATAGGGACCATTATCATTTCCTTCCTACAGATAAGAAATTAAAAGAGCGGGGCCGGGGAGATTGGCTCAGTAGGATAAGCACTTGACTGGCAAATGCAAGAATCTGAGTTCAATCTCCGGTTCCGCAAAAAAAAAAAAAAAAAGAAAAGAAAAGAAATTAAAAGAGCAAAGTAACTTGGCCAGATTAACAGAGCTTGGCTAGCTAGCAAGTAAAGTACCTAAGGTCTTAGCACATGGACCAAACCTAAATCTGTCTTTATCTAATTTTGTTACACAGAATGAAAATGGAATATAGCACTGTGAGCAGTAGAGTTCCAGAGTTAGACTTATTTGTATAGTTATATATATTGTATTTGCTTAGAAAAATATTTCGAAAAATAATCAGTTTTTGTTAGTGGATTTCTTGTGATTTTCAATTTTAGAATTTATACTTTTTAGAGTTACTTGAATGGAGGTGGGATAGGGGTTGGTATTACATTTGTAATCAAGAAGATAAAAAGCTTTTCTTGTTCAAAAGAAAATATTTACTTTGACTCATTTCGGTGAGACTTTAACAATTCATCATAAATTCTATATCTGATTTGAATACATATTAAATGTCAGATTTCTATGATCACACTTGTCCTCAAGTCCAGGCACAGCGTGTGTGCCTGAAGTCCCAGTTACTTGGAAGCCTGAGGCACGAGGATCACTTGAGCCTGGTCTGGCCAACACAGCAAGTATCCGTTGAAAAAGAAAAGAGACTTCATCTTGAATTTTCTCTGAATCCCAACTGATAGGTGCTCATAAACCTTGAGAAATTATACAGAAAAGTAATTTCACTAAAGAAAGATGTACAGTATTTGGCAACTTTTCTTCCTGTAAGATAAAGAGCTTTTGCATTTGCATTAAAACTTGATGAGTTTTATTTGTAAAGTGTCCTGTCCCATGGCATTCCTTAAATAATGAATGCTGACATCCTGTAAGTAGCTGGTTGATTTTGTTACTTTCTTTAGTGTTTCAGTTGAGTCTCATCTATTCTTTATCAGGTAACAGTAAGCATGAACTATGTTATTGGAACCCATGGATGGCTGCCTTATGACAGAAATATTTCTAATTACTTTACATTCATCAAGGATCAAACTGTGACAAATCCAAAGTAAGTAAATGAATATGTGATATTGGACAGTTGCAGCACATACCTTATTGCCAGGAAAAATAACTGGATTGATTCATGTGAAAGTAGAGGTAGATTTAATTGTACTTTTATTCTACTTATGATTTATTATTTGTTTTAGATAATAAGAAGTTAGTATTCACCTTATTTTGTTTTCATCTCCAAAACTACATTCTGTCTTGTTTTCTTAGATGAATATTTTTGTATATCTTTTCAAGTTAAATCACAGTCAGTGTTGTTTGAGAATCAAATTTGTATCTTTCTTGTCTCCATCAACTATAATATATTTTTCCTTTTTATCCCACATAGAACTTAATATTGTATCTGTCTCTGTTTCTGTTTCTTTGTTTCTTCCTTAGTTGGTTGGTTGGTTTTTAGTACTGGGGACTGAACCTAGGGTCTTCATACTAAGGTATATTCCCAACCATTTTTTCTTTTTCTTTCTTTTTTTTTTAATTTTGAAACAGGGTGTTGTCAAGATGCCAAAATGAACTCAAACTGGAGATCTTTCTATCTCAGAGTACTGGGATTGCAGGCATTCACAATCATGCCCACCTCACTGTTGTCTTTTACATGAAAAATATTCTCAGTAAATTAATATTAAATAACAAAATTCTAGGGCTGAAATGTCAAAATTAGCCCTGTTTTCTCTATGTATTTCTGCAGAATCTGGATTGGTCAGGCTCATAGATATTTCACTTAGAAGCAGATAAAACCCATCTGCTTGCTTAGAATGGAAGAGAGTCATTTTCATTAGTGTGTTTATCTGATTTATTTCCTGCCTATCACTTTATATAGGAGGATCCTGATTTTATTTTTTATTTTCCTGGTCCTGGAACATCACATATTGTCTTTATACTTATTTTCAAAGCTGCTATTTACAAAATTGCCAATTTTATTAAATTGGCTTTAAAAGACAAGATTTATAACTTTGGGTTTTTTTGTAGCATGGATCAAACTCAGGACCTTGTACTTGCTAGGCAGGTGCTTATGCCACTGAGCTCTCTCCTCAGCTCGAAAGCCAAGATGTAAACATTTTTCACACCTTCACTAACTAATCTCAACTTCTTTAAACAACCCTTGAGATTATTTGTTTTCTTTTGTTTTTTTAAGAGTATGAATAAAGTAATAGTAATGTATTAGCTAAAGGTTTATCATTTATTAATCAAAATTTCAAGTAGAACTTTTGGAGCTTAGTTTTTATTTCTTTTTTAGAAACTTTTTAAAAAATAGTTAATCCTAGTTAAGTGTCCTTTTAAAGGGAAGTCTAATATTTAATTATATTTACAGAACTCAGCGAAGTATAAGTGGTCCTTTTGCTCCAGGCCTGGAACTCACTTCTAAGCTATTTGTGGTGTCACATGATGCCAAGTTGCTCTTCAGTGCTGGACACTGGGATAATAGCATTCAAGTGATGTCACTTACAAAAGGCAAAATTATCTCACACAACATCAGACATATAGGTAAGTGTTAACTTGCCCCTCAAAAAAGACAAAAAATCAATTTTTTTCCAACTATAAAAGTAATATATGCTACATAATTTACATTTACTTTTCAACTGAGTGAACTTTTTGATAGTTGATTATAGTGAATGATTTCTGTAAGAGAGAATGTCTGATACAGTAGAGGTATACTAAAGCACTATATACATTAAATACACACGGTATATATAAATGTTAAACTAAATATTTTCAAAAATCAGATATACAAGAAAATACAAATTGGTTGGTAAAAATAAAGAAGACAAAATAATAAAATTTGTCACCATTAAAGCAGCAACTGTCCCAATATTATAGTAGCAGTAAAATACAAGAGATGAAATTGTTGAATGTGTTTTAACCTAGTATGTATTAGTATCTCAGTCCTCAATATAAGAGTAAAATATTAGTTAAATTCTTTTCTTTTCTTTTGGCACTGGGGATCAAACTCAGGACCTTTTGTTTGCCAGGCAGACACTTATGCCACTGAGCTAGCTCCCTGACGAGATTTTTTTTTTCTAATAAATCTGTTAGGGAAAAAAATGGAAGTGTGCTGCTAATTCTATACCAGTGATTCCTGTTACCACTTAGCATGGCTGCTTTATAGTTTAGGAAGAAATATCTTTTATATTGTAAATAACAATATGTAAGGGACACAAATTTTGTAGGATTGTAATTCCTAATGGGAAGACAAAATGAAAGAGATCAGAGACAGAGAAGCTTATCAGAATTAACTAGAGATTTAATTCAAGCTATTTGGCCTCTTCCTGAGAGTCTCATAAACATTCCCCGTCCCCTCCAGCTATACCTAATGCTCAAAGAGAAAATAGTCTCAAAGAATGTTCTCTAAGGTGATTTTCACACTGTTGCTTTCCTGTTTCATTTTCTGCAGCACTTTTCAGTCTTTTTTTATGCTAGAATAACTGATTTGGTAAAAGTTTGAACATTACATATAACAAGGCAATGATCCTGAGAATCTCCAGAAGATTTTTTTAATCTAGCAGTTAATTGGAAAGATTCTCACCCAGACTAACTCTATAAACTGATAAGCAACTGCATTGCAGATGGTAATCTGTAATAGTTTCATGCTTGGAGTGCCTGTCATTCTGGTCTTCTGAATACGGGCTGCTTGTCATGACATGCCAGTTGCTGCTACGAAGTCTCTCAGGTAGATGGTTGTTCAAAAAGAAGGGGGTGGTGAATGAAAGCAAGAGACAGGAAAAGGAATATTGTTGGACTGTCCTGCTTCAAGGTTGTATATGGTGAGATTTTTGGACTTATGTGTAAACGTAAGAAGTATATAATTCTTTATGCCTATTTTAAAAATATATTCTAATTTTTAAATGTTTTTTTTATCATATTCTGTGGGGACTTAAAGTTCAACATATCAATACTTGATGAAAAATACCTGTTCCATATTATGCCTAAGATGTTTGATATTCAGACAGATAGTGAGGTTAAGCTTAACAGCCTAAGTTGTATGGTAATACCAATAAGCTTGTCTTCTGGATGGTTAACAACCTAAGTTTGTAGACCAAAATTAGATGAACAGGAGGGCTGCAAGGAAAGCTAACATTTTGGCCCTAGCCTTCCAAGGTTAATTAAGACTCAGGACATATGAGAACTTGTAACTGTAATGTCATGTAACTCGGTAGTGTCCCAATTTTTCTGATCAAGGAGATTATGGGGCCAAAGAGGAAAGTGATCGATGATGTAGAGTGTGCCTAAGGAGAGTCACATGGAGAGAAAACATTCTCTCAGCCTTTCACAGAGAGCACATTGGCCAAGCAATGGCTGTGACTCATCCACATGGCTGACACTGACAAACATTCTGAGGTACAGGATCTCAGGATAAATCCTGAGGGTATTTCACTGACCTTATCAGATCCAAAAGCTACAACTCTTGTTGCATAGGTCCTGCTTTACCTTGGTATTAGCCACCCAGCAGAAAAGTATAAAAACAAAATATAAGAAGTAAAGCCATGCTGTTATGTTGAGCTGTAGGGCACTCAGGTCAACAATTTCTGACATTGCCAGTCAAGCGGAAGACCCAATACCATTATGGACTACTGAACTCTTTTAGATTATTTTGCTGAGTTAACACATCTATAATATTCAAATAATGGAACTTAACAAAAAAAGGGTATGCAAATGAATGTCCATTTTGTATCTGTGTATTCAAAGTGGTTAGGATAGATATATAGTTACATTCTCTTAAAGAATAGAGTGATTTGTTCTAATGGTGTTTGTAGATAGGATATCATGTCCGCATCTTGTACAGCAATTAACCACTGGGAGGAATGTATGCAATGTGTTAATTATTAAAACTGTCCTACCAATTTGATTTGAAACTGTCTCATTGATATTTGTTTATCAATAAAATTATGGGGAAAAAAGTGTGAACATTAACTGAAATTTCTTTTACATATCTCCTCTAACAAAATCAAACCATTTCATTTTATTTAATTCCTTTTTTTTTTTTTTTTTACAGATATTGTGACTTGCTTAGCTACAGATTACTGTGGAATACATTTGATTTCTGGTTCCAGAGATACTACATGTATGATATGGCAAATAACACAACAGGTAGTGATACATTAAAATGCTCTTGTTGTGATTACAATTTGCTTTTAGGAATCTGTTAAGATGTTCTAAAAGAGTCATGAATGTTTCTCTGATTACTTTGAATTCCTTTATATAAGCACCTTCTGTCCTGATAACCATATTTTTTTCAGGTTTCTTTTTCTTTATTTTTTTTAATGTGTTTGGTATAGAGTCTCACCATGCAGTTCAGACTAGTCGTGATCCTCCTGTTTTCAGCCTCTCCAGTGCTGGGATGACAGGCATGCACCACCACACCCAGTCTCAGTGCACCCAGGGCAGGGCTGACATAGCATGTGGTACTGAGGATTAAGCCCTGGTCCCTGCACTTGCCTAAGCAGGCACTTAGTTCACGAGCTATCTCACTAGCCCACTAGGTTTATTTTCAGATTCTTTACCTTATGACATTACTTTGTAAAATCTCTCCTTGTTAACCTCTCAGTATTTTAGTCTAACTTAGAAAAATAGTTATTATTTTTTACTTTCTTGATAGCATGATAATATTTCTACTTTTTCCTGGGACTACTTGAAATTACAGAAATATAATTTTCATCTTCATTAAATTCTCCTAACAGTGGTCAAGTGTCCTTTTTTTGCTGGGCATCGTGGTGCATGCCTGTAATCCCAGCACTTTAATTCTTATAGTAAACATAAATCATGGTATGTGTTAGTTGCTTTAATTTTTTCTCTCAATTGAAATAGATTAGGTTTTATTGTTTTTATCATGTTTTGTAGCATTGTTTATATTTGAGATATGTAGCCTTTATAAAATGAACTTGGGGAAAGTCCATCTTTTTCTGTAACTTGAATTGTTTAAATTATACAGGAATAAGGGGCGGGGACCTGCCCAATAGCTCAGGTGTTTAAGGGCCTGCTGAAACAAAGCAGTCAGGCTCAGGATGTTGTGGTTGGATCCCCTCATCAAGCCAAACCAGACCTGCCCTGAAGGCATCCTGGGGGGGGGGGCGCAAAAAAAATAAAAAAGGGGATTAGGGGCCCAGAATATAGCTCAGTGGTACAGTGCCTGCCTGGCAAATGCAAGGTCTTGAATTCAATTTCTGATACCCCTTAAAAAGAAACAATAATAATAATAAATTATATAGGAATATAAAAAGTACCTGATGTGTAAAACATTCAGCAAAGTGCACTAAGCACTCAGACTGACACTTGTAAGGGAAAGACAAATATGTCTCAGTCAATACAAGTCAATTTGTGTACTATGTAGAACAGACCGAATGTGTGGGCAGAATCATGTTGGATAATTATGAATAAAACATCATATCAACTATCAAACATTGTATAACATATAAAGTAATATACAAATAAAGCATGCTAAAACATGAAGCAGTCTTCTTCTAGAAGAAAACAAAAGAGAAATTCCTCACAATAAAATTGTATCAGTAGAATGTAAGAATAGTGGTTCAACAAAATGGGAGCTCCAAGATGAAATGAAAATAGAGGTTTCATAGGGCCAGCCAGATAGTTCAGCAGACTAAAGCTCCTGCTTCAGCAGAGCTCAGTGGCTGGGGTTTGATCCCTGGTGTGCTGTGCCAACCCTGCCCCTGGGGTGCGCTGAGATGGCGACTGAGACTGGGTGTGGTGGCGTGCACCTGTAATCCCAGGGTTTGGGATGATGTTGAAAACAGGAGGATCACAATGACTCCGATCTACATAGTGAGACCCTGAACACCCTGTAGACCCTGTACCAAATACATAAAAAAAGAAAATAGAGGTTACAGAAGAATCAAACTGAGAGTAAAATGAGTACAAACTAGTTGCAAATTTAAATAAACCTAACACAGAAGCAGCAAGAAAGATTATTTTCCAAATTAATAGTATGGCAGAAAGATTTAAGCTACCAAAGTAAATACACATGAAAAAGATAAAAAGATTATAGTAATGAAAGGCAGAAAAATAGCTATAAAATTTAAAGAGAAATCATCATGAAGATAATTGGGGTCCCTGAAGTAGAGACTGCAATAAATGTAAAAGGGAAAATATTCAGAAGTGTAAAATGAAAGTTTCTTAGAAGTTAATGAAAAAGCTGTATATTAAGAGAGCAAGTAATATACCTGGAAAAATTAAGACAGTCAATATTGAGACTATTCATATTAAGTTTTTTGAGCTTCAAAAGGTAGAGGAACCATTCAAGAACTGAAGGAAAAACAGAAGAATGAGTACCATTTTAACTAACTATTGGCTATATTTCAGTATGTTTTTTGTTAGAAAGTTTAAATGCATTATAAACTTTGTTATAATAGTGAGAAGATGTTTTATGTGTGCCTTTCTATTCTAATATTAGGGAGGCGTTCCTGTGGGCTTAGCATCTAAACCCTTTCAGATTCTTTATGGACACACTGATGAGGTACTGAGTGTTGCCATCAGCACTGAGCTAGACATGGCAGTATCAGGATCAAGGGTAAGAGCTCACCTTTAAAAAAGACTTGTTCTGTAGCAGTGCTTATATCTCAAAAAGTTTTCTAGGGGAATTGGTAAAAGAAACGTTAATATATTTAGATAGGACATATTTTAACATATTTACAGAGGACATTATCAAAGTACAATAAAATAGAAAAAATATGATTTTATTGTTTTGTAATTTGATTGATTTTCCTAGTTAAGAGGGCATTTTTTGACATGAAATACTACCTGAAATGTGAGCATTGGTATTTTTCTAAGGTATAAGTGTTCTTGGTAAAATAATAATTTTCTCAGTTCTTTTCAATTTCTTTATCCAGTCAATTTTATTTTCTTCCTTATTTCTGTTACTATTTATGGGTTTGTTGTTTTTAATTTTAATTTTCTAATATCTCTTATGTATAGGATGGCACTGTGATTGTATATACCATTAAGAAAGGTCAGTACATGAGGACTCTACGACCACCTTGTGAGAGTTCTCTGCACCTGACCATTCCCAGTTTGGCTATATCTTGCGAAGGACAAATTGTCATCAACTCCAGCACTGAAGAAAGGACCACCTTTAAGGTACCTGACACTTTCATGCAGTAGGGATAGTGTGCCAGTAGCATCTTTTCCTTTCCACATACACGGCAGTTTGAGCACAAAAAGAACACTTTGTTTTGTTTTTTTTAAAAAAAACTTTATTTGTGTGTGTGTGTGTGTGTGTGTGTGGCCAGCTCAGCCCACCAGGGGGCGGGGCTGGCTGGCATGTGGTGCTGGGGGATTGAACCGTGGTCCCTGGGCTAAGCTTGTTCTAAGTAGGTGCTTTAGACCACTGAGCCAGAACACTTTGTTTTAAAGAGGTTGTTCTAGAGCTGGTGAGATAGCTCAATGGAATAAGCAGGTGAATGAGTCTGCCCGAATGAGTTCAGGTGTGGTGGCACACACCTGTAATCCCAGCACTGGGGATGCTAAAAACAGCATCACTAGGAGTCCAACCTGCATAGTAAGACCCTGTACCAAATACATAAAATGAAAAAATAATAAAGAGGCTGTTCTCATTATTCAGTTGTTCACTCTTTACCATTGGCTTCATATTTGCAGTTTACTATAGGATTTCTGTTAGTCTGTGTGATATATGATTAAAAATAATTTCTGATTTTGTGAGATGTAAGCGTAAGTGAAAATGATAGGCAGTTTAAAATTTTTCTTTCATAAACAGGATATAACTAAGTAAACCCTAAATTTTGTGTGTTATTTCTTTTCAGTGATAAAGCTTCTAAATCATTAAAAAAATCTTTATGCATTAATAATGTGGGGTTAGGGACCAGGGAGATGGCTCAGTGAAATAAGCGCTTCCCTGGCAAGTGCAAGGGCCTGAGTTCAAGCCCCAGTTCCACCAAAAAATAAAAAATAAATAAATAATGTGGGGTTAAGCCAGGTGTGGTGGTGCATCCCTGTTATCCCAGCACTTGGGGTCACCACAAGTTTAAGGCCAACCTGAACTGCATAGCGAGTCCCTGCCAATAACTACTCCTACTACTAATAATAATGTAGGATATTTTGAGGACTGGCAATTTTACTTTTCCTTTAGGTGAGGGTGAGACATCCTGTTTAACATTTATTTACTAGTCTAGTTTGAAATTATTCTTACATTGTTTGTACACATTTCCTTTAAGTATAACTGTATTTTATTGCAAAATTTTAATCATTCTGTTATAACTTTAACTGAAAATATGAAAAATGAGCTGGTTGTGATCATTAAATTTTCCTCATCAATTCTTTGCAGGATAAGAATTCATTACATTTGTTTTCAGTAAATGGCAAGTATCTGGGATCTCAAGTCCTGAAGGAACAAGTATCAGATATGTGTATAATTGGAGAACATATTGTCACGGGCAGTTTACAAGGGTTGCTGTCTATAAGAGATCTCCACAGGTAAGTAAGAAAAACTATTGAAGCTGGGGCTGGGGAGATGGCTCAGTGGAATAAGTGCTTCTCTGGCAAGCGCAAGGGCTTAAATTCAATCCCTGGTTCCACAAAAAAAAAAAAAAAACTACTGAAGCATCACTTTAGAATAAGTAACTACTTCTAGCTAGAGTAGAAACCAGGAATCTAAACTTCCTAGTTGTTTGAGTTTTCATTTTTAAAAATGCCTCTTTTGGGGCTGGTGAGATGGCTCAGTGGTCTAAAACACCTACTTAGAACAAGCTTAGCAAAGCAAAGGGACCGCGGTTCAATCCCCCAGCACCACATGCCAGCAGCCCCGCCCCCTGGTGGGCTGAGCTGGCCACACACACACACATAAATAAATAAAATTTTTTTTTAAATGCCTCTTTTTACACTACGAAAAAAAATTGAGGATGCTGAAGTATTCCTGGGTTACTAAATGAAATATATACCCACGATTAAAAATGTTTAGAAAACTTTATGTACATGTTAAAAAATTAATATGTAGAACCAGCTATTTTTAATAGTGCCAAACTATTAAAAAGCTTTTTTAATAGTGCCAAGCCTGATTTGGAATTTTGTCCAACGTGAGGGTTTGAATTTTTACAACTAAATTTTCTTTTACTTCTGATAAGAAAAACTAAAGTGTTTTTAATGTTATTAATTGCATTATTTGTGGTGGAATCTTCTGTTCTTTAATTGAATCAAGGACTCTTATGTTCTTTAAGTGAAAGAGGGATGTTTGAGTAGGAGTAGTATGTTTCTAAATTTAGTATTCTTCGGGTGTATTAGCTTAAATACACAAAGGATTGTTACTCCATGTGTGTCACTAATATATTCTTTTCTTCCCTTCTTAAAAATAATTACTGATTTTATTTATGTGTCTCAAAACTCTCTTTCCCTCCCCACCAAAACATCTTTTTATTATTTTCTAATCTAGAGAATTCTACTTATTGTATTTTAATGTCAGATTCACTTCTTTTCTTTTATTTTGAATAGCAGATTTACTTCTGTACCAATATCTTCTGTTTCACTATTTTTCTTTTTGTCACTTTTTTGTCCTGTGTTAGAGCATTAGTCTATCTTAAGTAAAAGAGGAAAGGTTTAGAGGTTTTAGTCCAAAGTCAGATGGCTCCAAGGCAGGGCAGATGGACATCGCAGAGGAGAAGCAGTCCGTGGCATAACAGACAGGAGGCAGCAAGAGGTATTCTTTTTTACCCTTTGTATGCTATCTAGGATAAAAGCCTATTGACCAATGTCACCTATACTCAGGGTGGGTTTTCTCTCTTCTGTAACTCTACCACTCCCATGATCTAGTGACTCCCAAATCCCCACCTAACAGCACATAGCCTTTTGGAGGGACATCTAGGAATAAGCAATAACAGAGTCCACAGGGGGCCTGTCCATTAGCTCAGTTGTTTAGTGACTACTTAAACAGAGCAGTCAGGCTCTGGTTGCTGTGGTTCGATCCCCAGATCCTCAAGCCTTACTAACCCTGCCCTGAAGGCATCCTGAGCCAGCCAAAAAAAAAAAAAAAAAAAGTCCACAGTCCAATTATATCTTACCATCTTTTTCTTTTTACAATCCTCATTTTAGTGTACCTGTTTGAGCCTCTCAAATTAGAAAAGTCAATGGATCTCTTAGCAGCTTATTCTAGAATGTTGTGTATGTGTGTGTTTCTTCATTCTCTAATGAGTAAAGAAGCACAGACATTTATCAACGGAATATAATGAAAAGCAAATGGAACAGTTGTATTGACATCAAAAACACATACCACATGTGCTTGCACTTTTTGAGCTTTTTGCTGTTCTTGTCTAGCTGTCACTTGTTAAATGACAAGATGAAAAGCATTTAATAAAAGAACCTATTTGCTCAGTCCTGTGATGTGTACTCACAATAACAGACATTCTGGGGTTTAAGACTGGTGAGGAAAATAGCAATATGTATATGCCAATTAGAATAATTTCATAGTAATGTTAAATTATGTGGTATTAGTTATATGTGCACATGGAGTATAAAAAATATTAAG